ACCACTTACCTAGGCACAGATGGTCCCGTCGCCTGGGTAGTTTTAATTCCGGTCATTGCTTGGGGAATGGCCTGCGGAAGGGCGTGCTGGGTGGCCGAACGATTTTGAGTTGTGCATTCCGTGATTTGCAAGCTGGCGCCTGGGCCGCCTTGGCTCCAAGAGAACACACACACGTCGTACGTCGCGCGACGCCCTAATTAGGTGAAGGATTAAAAACCATTGACGATGTCGTTTGGACGAGTGAGCGGTCAAACTTTAAAACTCGATCCAAGTTGCGCGCATGATATTTTGCTCAAGGTGAACGCCATCACAACCAGCCTTTGAGACGCAACCGTTCAACGAAAATCGTATAACTGTGTGATTTGTTACAATGCCTTCTTTCAAGGAAGGTTTGAAAGAACGTGTAGACGATGCATCGGTTATTAGCTGCACCGATGGAAATATGCCCGGGAAAACCACCATGTCAATACCTGCATGTAACATGGATCCCCTCATTCGAATGTAGACTGGCAGTGTTCTGCTCATGAGTTCGTGGGAAGCGCGATGACCCTCTGGCATGAGTGGACTTACTTGCTCATACAATGGACTTGTCATATCTGTGGGAGGAATTTATAAAATGTTGGAAACATACGTCATCAGAGTTAAACGCAGCGCATCATATTTTCACATAAACGTTTAACAGGAATGCTGCATTGTATGCATTGGCGAGGATTATCAAATATATTTAAATCAAGATACATTGTTTAAATGCACGAAGGCCATGCCGAGGAACTTCGAACTTCGCCGACTCCGACGTAGTCTGAATCCAAGAGTGTGTCTGATGTTTATTTTGCGATGCAGCCAACCAAACGAGCACAACTTCACAACGTCATAGAGACGCAGTCAATGCCTTGGTCTATGCAATAAACTCACTTTAAGTCCTTGGCCTTATCAGCGAGATATCCTCTTAAACCGAGAGGCAAACCATCACCGGACGCCCACAACTGTAACTTGGGAGTAAGTACAGTACTGCAACTTCACTGTCAGTGTTGCCCCAACTGCAGTCGAAGTAAACTTTCAAGTTCGATCGACAATCGAACGAGGCAATTCGATTGGCTTGTGCTTTGTAGATTCCAACTCGCCATTGATTCGCTAAAACCTCCGAATAAAGCAGCCAATCAACAAGTACATTCTCCTGGCCACTCACGTGGCATCCGGATATTATTATCCGGAGCATTGTTCACTGGTTGTGCGCCATTGCATCCCATTTCCAAGAAAGATGGCCCCTGCAAAGAAAACCACGTCCGCTAAGACCGCCGGCGCCAAGAAGGCCGTCGCGACCGCGCGCCGCGTGCTCAAGGGCAACCACGGCAAGGTTGTGGAAATCCGCACCAAGACCCACTTCTACAAGCCTAAGACTTTGAAGCTGGCCCGTGCCCCTAAGGTCGTCCGCAAGTCGGTGCCTTCTCGCAACAAGTTCGACAAGTACCGCATCATCAAGTCCCCCTTGACGACTGAATCGGCCATGAAGAAGATCGAAGACAACAACACGTTGGTCTTCCTCGTCGACAAGCTTGCCAACAAGCGCCAAATCAAGGATGCCGTCAAGCAATTGTATGACATCAAGGCGTTGAAGGTGAACACTTTGATCAGGTACACCCCATCGTGTCGAGGCCTCGAGACCATTCCACATGCCACAGTACACATCTCGATCGAGACATTTTTCTGTGATTGCATGGGTCTCTTTGTTGTAGACCCCGCGTATGTGTGTCGCTGGAGTCGACGGCTTGTCGATTCCTTCCATGCACATGCGCGGGACGTCTATGTCCTTCTCGAGTTTCTTTGAGCGACAGCTTATGCTTTGCCCTCGTTGTAGACCCGATGGCCAAAAGAAGGCCTATGTCCGCTTGACTTCTGACTACGATGCCTTGGACGTGGCCAACCGCATTGGCGTGATCTAAATGTCTTTCCAAACGAAGGACTGAGAGAAGACTACTTCTTGTGTCACGTGGTTAGCTAGCTTGAATGAGTTCTCGACTAATGAAGGGGATGCCGTCTTGACTCCATGTCCTTGGACATCGTCGTTCTTTCATCGCCATGTTAAGTACAGTCAATTACTCGCAATTCCCAGCACCAAACGGCGCGACGACGTTGCCGTTAGCACAAAGTTACCTTGTGTTTACTCGAGGTTGAATGATGTCCTCGCCAAGTCAATAATGCTGCTCATCAACGAGCTCTTCTCTTCGTCAACCCAAGGCAATCAGTATGGTTGCCCTGTAACTCCAACGAGGCCGCGGCAAATCACCTCCTTTGTGCCGAACACTGACCATGGCGCTTCTTCTTGGATGCGGCATCATGGAATCGGCCACTGGCGTGCAATGTCTCGGGACCGACCTTGCGCGCATCAACGCGAGCGCCTCTGTCATCCCGTACACTGGCATTCTTTCACATCGGCAGGATTTTTCAGGCACAGCATAGTGTACAATTCCGTTGAAAATATCCATATGCGGATATTTGTTTTTTAGACCACTCATGTGGGCAACCTTTTTGCATATTTCTTCGGTTTGTAACCGCAGATGCTTTCGATTGGCCAATTCCCAGCAGCACCAGACAGGACGTCCTTCATGACGTCGACGATGCTCGTGCGGACGGCGTCCACGGCGGTGGTGACGCTTGACGCCGTCGTCCACGACCCCCACATGCATGCTGTCTTCCTCAAGTACCTCTCGGAGCACGACCCAAAGAACTTTGCACGTCTCCTCTTTCTGTACGTACAACCAGTCCACGTTCCAAGGTTGCCAACGTCGTCGATGGTTGTTCGCTGTATGTAGGGTCAGCGTGGACGAGTTCAAGAAACTCGCGCCCACGGACGATAGCAGCCATAGCCCCACGACCCAGCGCGTCAACTACGCCAAGAAGATCATTCACAAGTACATGGCGGAAGACTCATTCTTTTACATCGGACGCGCAGAACGTCCGCTCCTTCAAGATGGCAACCAAACGGTTGCGTCTTTCGGACAACTTCTCCACCACGACTTGCATCTGTGCAGCGGCCTCAGCGCCAACCCTGATCTCTTCCTCGATGTCGAAACCGCCATCTTGACTGCCATGGCGCCAAGCTTTCAAGCGTTCTCCGCCACGCCGGCGTTTCAATCGTTAGTGAACATGGAAATGCTCGTCCCGCCCATCGAAGAAGTCGAGCTGCAGCACGCCTCAAGCAGCTTCACCCTAGAGCGTGTAAGTTCACCTCGCTGCATCTCGCTACATCACGCTGCTGCTACCTGCAAATGACCTCCGATCTCGATACGCCACATATCATGTCGTCTTGGGGAAATCGAAGGCGGGGGTCACGTTCCTCACGCCAGTCCCTTCCCTAGGTCCTCGCAAATCGACGACTCTGCTGCGTCTTTTGGCTCTTCCTCTTCAAGGAGCGTACGCATGCTCCACTGAGCTTCTGGATGGAGACGACATATCGCGTGCTACCGTTGGTCGAGTCCAACGAGGCGGCAACCGCGACGTCATCTTTAACGCATCTTGGCCGGGTCCTCCAGACGAAGTACTTTGACCACAGCGCAAACGCCCAATTGCACGTCCACGGCGACATCCAGCTGACTGTCGTGGAAGGTATCCAGGCGCACTTGGCCGAGTGGAGCGCCGGCAACTTTTCAAATGTCTCCAGTATGGCGCGGCTCCTGCGACAGCTCCTTCGCCACGTGAAAGAAGTGCTGCAAGTGAACCATTTTGTCCGATTCATTCAAAGCCCGAGCTTCCATTCCATGCTGCTCGCTCCATCGCGCAATCGGTTGTGCCTCAGCCCCCACAAAACACAGTCCAGAGCGACCGCATCGGTGCTGCAGGTACGGACTTTTCGATCGTCGCCACCGGTGTTTGGACAGGGTCCCTTTGGGTAGATGAGGTGAAGTTCGTTGTTGATTTAGTTATGTGTAGGGCTCCACAAGACCAATGTCACCGTATAGCTCGAGCAGCAGCAGCAGTGACGATGGCAGCAGCGACAGCAGTGGCTCCAACTCGACACTTCAAGACGTCGTGCACGTGATGAACGTGCATTCGTCGCACCAGTCTCCGCTGTCCATCGGAGCATCGTTCCCCTCTGGCTCGAGCTCGACGCCGGTGGACTCCATCGCCGGCGTCTTGCACTTCGCCCTCCATCCGTCGCACAAGTCGTCCTTTGACACAGACATCCTGTTCGACGCAACCACATCGTCTTCCGCGACAAACCAATCGCAATTACCAGAGCATCTCGACGCATTCTTTGCACCAGGAGGGACACCGCCCATGGTGCGCAGCCAGACGCAGCCACCGTCGTCACTCTTCCACCTTACCATCGGTCCGACTGATCGTCCGTTTTACATGGTTTGCCTCACGCGCTACGTGGCCATCACGGCGCCGGCCGAACTGAATCCATTAGAACTCGTCCTCCTCGAGCAGAAAAACCTCCACCGGTTCGTGCTCACGGGGTTGTGCGTGCTCAGCTATGCCCCGAACTTTGACACAATCCGGGGTCGCCTCCGACAACTGCACATGGAAGCTTTGAACGCGCCAACTTCGAACTACGCGACAAGTACGAAGTGGCGGCCCTCCCTTGACCAGCTCGCTGAGCTGACCGAGCCATCCATGGCACAAACGGAAATAACGATACAGACGCTTTTCACGTGCCTGGCTCCACCCCACGTCCTTCAAGTCGTCGCTGCCATCCTCTGCGAACGAAAAGTGCTGCTCATCTCGTCGCATGTGTCGGTTCTCACAACGGTGGCGGAAACGTTTCGGTTGCTCCTGCGGCCACTCGAGTGGCCCCATGTGTTTGCCCCCGTTCTGCCAGAATGCATGGTGGACTGCCTCCACTGCCCGACGCCGTTCGTATTCGGTGTGCACCGAGCAGGGTCGGCCACGGCGTTGGATATTGTACAGGACTCGGATTCAACTATCGTCGTGGTCGACTTGGACCATGACCGCGTCGACTGTCATTTCAAGTCGAGCCACCATCGCCGCAGCCGACGCAGTTCGAATGGGAAAGACCGCCCCGTTACGTCGGCTGCTCCCGGCCCCGACGTCCTACCCCAAGCCGCCGCCCTTGAAGACTCGCTACGAACGCTCTTGCGGCCGCATGTCGAGCGCAGCGACGACATCGACTGCCCACGAAGAGATGACCACACTAGTTTTCCGGAAGCTGCCGTTCTTGCACTGTTTCGAGAGACGTGGGATCACATGATGGATCGCATGGAAGAGTTCAGCTTTGTCCTGGCAGACGAAGGCGACAGCATGGTCGTGTTCGACTCGATTGGGTTTCTTCAACAGAACCAAGGCGCCGAGTTCGCCTTCTATCAAGCGTTTTTGAAGACACAGCTATTCTCACACTACATTGCGACCCACGCTCTCCTCCGCGACTAGACGCTGCCGCCGGCTCACCCACGTGTCATGCGAGGAATAGCTGCATGCGCCCAAGGGGCAACGACGAGCCGTGGCGACTCTCGCAGACGAGAAGCGGCGGCGCACACTCTTGTAGGTCACGACTTTGTGATAATGGGAGTGATTTATTCGACAACGCCAATCATCCCATTGTGAGCACAAATGTTGCAATCGCCACGCGCTCGCATCTACATGACGTTCACCGAGCCCCATGGACACGATCGTGGTTTTGCATTCCAGGTGTAGCCTTGAAAGAAGGCACTCTGCATCCCCCCTTCTGAAACCAGTTCACTGTAGAGGACAAGTTTGACATTGCCAAACACTCGATGCACAGGCGTGCGACTATTGTTCCGATGAGGGCATCGCAGGGACAACCAATCTCCTCGATTCCAAAGTGGTCCCATGGGTGCATGGCTCGTGGACGCGCCATCGGTCATGCAGCGTGACGTGGTGCCATACCGCGACCAAGTGCTGGGACAGCTGCAACGGGTGCACTCGACTTGGGCTGTCCATTGGTGCTGGAGCGCGGAGGCCCGACGAAAGCTGCCTCGTCGATGTTGTTGGCTCGCTTCCATGGTCCATGCGCAACGGTCTGTACAGCCATCTCAAGCAGGAGCATTCAACCGAACAACAGCATGTGGAAGAACTGCCGCAGCGGTGCCGTGACTGGGCGACCAGGCGCTAAGTGGCGGTCGCGGCGTGTGATGGTCGTTTCCCATTTCAAGTCTTGGCCAACACCGAGTCCGGCACGACAAGCAAGTCAATGTTGAAGCATTCGTCCAAGTCCGTCGCAGTTGCTCTCACGCCGTACTACTTCTCATTCTCTGGACTGCCGGCATTGGGCTCGTCATCGGCCCGTGTGTTGGGCAAGTTGAGGGCACTTTTGCGTCGACGAAGTTGATGGAGCGAATGCCTCGAGCTCGTCGTAGGGCAAGTCCGGGTTTTCTTCTCGCTGGAAACGACGGTACTCTTCGAGATCGCTTGCTTGTTCATCTGCAACAAATCCGCCATGGTGAGGTTGACCATGCGCTAAGTAGAGCGGTTGAATGGCCACCGACTTTTCGAAGAGCGGCAGCATCGTGCCAAAGAGCGGTTCGAGCGCTTGTACGTGACCGAGTGGTTGGTAGGGTGGGTGCGCTCTTGCTGTGGCTACCATCAAGCACGAACCTCATTTGCTCGACACTTCTTGACCCTTCTTGAATGTTGACAAATTACGTGCTGCCGGCACCTGCGACAATCGTCATGTCGGTAGATCGCCGCTCCCGCCACATCGCATGCGCGTAGTGGTAGCCAATGGAGCAGATATGCCATGTTCGTTGGGGCCTTCCGAAGCGTCGAGACAGGTTTGCGTGGGACGCTCGTCAAGACAACCAGGTGCGAGACATTTGAAACCGAACGGCGGCGGTGTGCCAATCGGCCCTCCGCTCATTGCAAAAAGTCGTTCAAGCCACGTCACTTTCAGCGCCAGTGGTGCGACAGCGTCGTGCATGTCATGCACCATGACTTTCCAAATTCCCTTACCGTGGCACAAAAACTTTTGACCATGAGCGCCGCCCCTCGCCTGCGAAATTTGACCACTGGCAAAGACCTGGCCGGTGTGCGAACTCTGATCGTTGTGCTTGCCGTTCTGGTCAGTGGGCTGATCCGGAGCATGTCAGACGAAGCGTGCCACCAACATCCTTCGACAACAGCGAGAATCCACCGCCGACACCTCCGTGGACAACGACATTGAAACACCCAAGTCCACGACAGACTCCAACGCTATACACGTCGAGATCGAATCGCACAAGCCCCCAGTCTAAGCCCACCTCTCCCTCAAGTTATCTATCTATTGGTATCACGCGTCAGAGTTGCTTTCGTCTACGATTCAATTCCTGATGCAGATACAATAAGTGGCTCTGCGGACAAATGCCAACGGCTGCAGCTGCCTCGAACACACACCTCTGTGGTGCTTGGTGATATCGTGAGGGTTTGGAGAGCTGTCGATGGTCGATCTGGACAGTTTAGAATGTATCCATTGAATCCTGCTGCGCTCAACTCTATAGCCCTCACGATTCGTTCGACTGCAAACAAATCGAGAGGTTCCAAACAGTCTCTTCTGCGACGAAGCAATGGTTGTGTTCTCATCAAAGCTTTGTATTGCCGACAAACGCACGCCTACCAATTCGATGCTGGGATCCTGGTCCTCCAGCATTCACCACGTATTCCCACGAAACATCAATAATTTTAGAGACAGTAGCTTTGGGATTATCAGCATGCTAACGACGACGGAGTGCTGTTACGGCAGTACTGGAGCTGGAGTGTTTCTCCGTTCCTCTTGACGCTTCTTCGCGGCAGCAGTGCCCTTGTCCCGTCACAACTTGGGGACACAACTGTTCGCAGACCCTTTGTCAAAATTAGCCGGTTGCAACCTCCACCACCATAGAATTATTGACTCGCCACCTTCAACTGTTGTGCGATAGCTAGGTCGCAAGCTGTTTCTGCCTGGCGACGACTCGGCAACTGTGCGTCAATACGTCGCCAGCGTGATGGATCCAAGTCCCATGCTACGCATTTGAAAATCACCCCACGAAGCGTGTGGATGCGCTGTTGCCTTGTACAAACACACGGGATGGCTGGGACTGCGGCGCAACAAGCCCCTAGCTGGCAGATGTCCTGGAGAGCTCTATTTCGAGATAATTGCGTGTTTTCGTGGATGCAAATTTCAAGAAAAGCTCCCTGCAACTTGACCATGGTCTCACGTTGTTGCTGGTCCAATTCTTCACTATGAACCGTGCGGAGGCTTTGAAACGCACTCGGACCATGCTCATCATCATCATGAGCCCAGACGATCGGCCAACTTCAGCGGCAATCTCGCCGCGATCGAAATGTCCGACTCGCAACTCTTTGTTGGCGCAGGCTGGAACCAACGAGATGGTTTTTTTCTGGCAAGAAAGCGCCATTCGTTGCGTCGCGAGCGGTAAAGGCACTTGTCGGGACGATCGGTGGTGGACAAGGGGATCGGTGGGTGCATTTCAATCACATCACTTCCTTACCACATATCCGACACGGGGTGCAGCGACGTCTGTGGCGCAGGGGCGTCCGGCGCCGTTGTGAATTCATACTGCAAGATGCAAGACTGACCAGAGTCAAACTTGTGGCCAAAGTCGGACGGGCGGTGGGTGGCGCTGCTCGGCCACGTGCCTCCATCGACCACACGGTAGCCGGCAGGCATGCAGTACCTATTGCAGTGCGTCCAATTCGTGGATGCCACTAGTGATGACGTGGCATCGTCCCAGAGCATCTGGTGTACGTCGTTGTTGCCTGTGGTGAGTTCGTACAGCCCACGGCCGTACCGGACGTCAAAGGCCACGATGCTTTGGTTGGTGCCGCCGAGAAACAAAACAGTCCCGTCGTCGGAGAGTGCCACGGACGTGTTTATTCCATCGGCCCTCGACGTGGATTCAAACCGAGCAGTGGGGGTGCACGTCCGTGCGTCCCACAAGTAGGCATGGTGGATGTCGCAAGTCGCAATTGCCAGGGCGGACGAGGTGAACATGTTCTGCACCGGGTGCAGGTGGCCAAAAAAGCGCTGCGAAAGCACTTCTGTTCGGAGATCCAGCGCCCCAAACACTGGGCTTTCAGTGAACGCAGCCAAGACACCCCGCTCGTAGAACGGAACAACTTGGCTTACGTGTCGATTGTCCAGAGGCAGCACGTAGGTTGGCGCTGTGCCCACCGAGACTTCGATAGCAAAAGGATTGTCAACGACGAACTCACTCCCGCCATATTGAGGACGCAGATCGAGCCATGGACCCGCGGAGGCGCCATCGATGTCACCGATCTCGTAGTCTTCCAGCGTCGGTTGGGCCGTTTGACGCGGCAAACACGACAAACTGGACCACACACGCAATCCCGCATGTGCTGCTGTACCGGTGGGAAGCAAGCCGGCGCAGGCGGCCACGAGGGTGTCATGGAAGATGGCCATCGAAGTAACCCTCGCGTTCACATCGCCACAGGAGAGCGTGGTGTACAATTGCCCACTTGCAAGGTCGAATGCTTTCACGCGGCAGTCGCCAGAAATCCACACGTGCTGATCGTTCATGGCCAAGGCTGTTCCAGGAGTGTAAAGCCCTGTGTCGACTTCGATCGCGCTTTGGACTTGGATTCGGCCACCGTCGTTGGGAGTGGTCGGGTGCACCAGTGGAAACAGAATGAGCTGGGCATCATTCATAAAGCCAGCTCCATAGGCTGCCAGAATCGACGACGACATGGCAATGCCATTGTATTGTGCAGGAGGGATTTGGGATGTCGTCTGGTACAGGTTGCAGCACCCGTGAAATATCGGCAAGTCCATTGCATCGTAAGTGAACGACTTGGCAAATCGCGCGAAGCGGCCACAGATTTCAGAAGGTGGTGGGGGGCATGTGGTGGAAGCTTTTAGCGAGAGCTGGCACTGGGCTGGGACAAGCCCAAGCATGCGTTGGATTCGTTGACCTATGCGAGTTGTGGGGGTATCAGCTTCGACGCGGGGAATGCCGAGGACATTAGCTTCGTCCACGATGCAAAAGCCATTAAGTGAGGCCACCCACAGCGCATCAAAGCGGTCGTGGATTGGGGATACTTGGCGCTCCACGATCTGTGTTTCGAGTCGTTCGACAGGGTCCAACGGATCCCACCGCCACGTCAACGTTCTTTGCACTTGCCACGCTTCAAGGATAGTGCTGCGCAACTGTTCGTTGTCGTCCGAGTCGTACGCAGACGACTCGTCGCTACTATCGTCCAAATAGCCATTGTCAATGTAGAAGTGTCCTTCCAATTCGCGGTCGCGGCCGTGCCATCCAAACGACGCCATCGCTGTGGACAAGTCGTTAAGTTGCCAGGTTCTAGGCATGGACAAAGGCCATTGGTGGAAAAAGAGCCAATCAGAATTTGGACTCGAAGTCCCCCAAACCCCACCAGGATCGTGTATGGCGCTCGTAGATTATACCGCTCTCCATCTGGAATGTAATATCGCACGTGGACCTTCAAGGAAAGCGCTGCACGAGAGTTCGCCACCATTTTCCACATGCTCGTATGCGTTTACAGGCCGACAAGGCAATGTGTGCGTATGGACGCCCTGCTGGGAGTTTCTTTGCATGCCATTGGCCCTTTTTTCCATTGACTAGCCAATCACTTCAAAATCATCTGTTTCAAAGATCTCGACCAATCAATTTTATGGAGTGCCTCCCATGTTCAATCAGATTGCGATTTTCGTTGCAGCAACCATGGGAGTGCACCAGTCGATGCAAGAGGCGCCGCCGCAAGAACGAGATCTGCTGTCCGAGCCAGGCGCACTAACACCCTCGCTAGCTGCGGTATTGCCCCCACTCAGCTCTCCCACTGCACGCATCAGTCCACCGATCCTGCACTCACCAGCGCTGGAAGTTCTTCGTTCTGTTGAGCTCGTTCGAACCATCGTGGACTTTCAAGATGGCATGTACAGCGACATGGTTCAATTCCTTCGGTTGAAGGCACCGAGCTTACCCAGTTCCGACAAGCACACGGAACCTTATGTCCTCGCTGACTTCGAAGCGCTCGACCGTGTCTTGGCGCCATGGTACGCCCTGCACGGCACGTCTCGTTTGGGCGTACTCTTTGAAACCCATCGACACATGCACCACATCGTGCTCCTCCACAGTGTCTTCTTTGGTTTGGTGGATGTTGTTTGGTATCTGCACCGTAACGGGTTGCTCTTTATGACGTATTACCCCCACATCGACCTGGCTGCGTTCAACGGTATGCTGCGCCTCCTGCCATTTCTCCATGCGGTCGGTTGTCGGGGTACGACGAAAGCCATCGATGGCGCGGCGCAGCGCGGCCACTTGCAAGTGATTCAATGGCTCGTGGCGAATCGGATGGACGGTGCGACAGAGCTCGCGATGGTTGGTGCTGCAGCGAACAATCACTTGGATGTGGTTGAGTTCTTGAACGAGAATCGCCGCGACGGGTGTACAAGTGCGGCGATGGACCTGGCGGCTGGTCGCGGCCACTACCGCATGGTCAAGTGGCTGCACGCGCACCGTACAGAGGGGTGCACGACACATGCCATGAATGATGCAGCGAAAAATGGGCATTTGGACGTGGTCGAATGGCTCCACACGACCCGGACGGAGGGCGGGACCATCAAGGCAATGAACCAAGCGGCTGCCAGTGGCCACCTCGATATCGTCGAATTTCTCCATGAACATCGACAGGAAGGCTGCACAACTTCGGCCGTCGACGGCGCCGCGTCGAACGGCCATGTGGACGTTGTGTCGTGGCTGCTGGAGCACCGAACCGAAGGCGGCACGCACCGCGCGATGGACGGCGCCGCTTGCAACGGCCACTTGAACATGGTTCAGTGGCTGCATGACCGGGGATTTGAATGCACTGCGAGCGCCATGGACCTGGCAGCGACGCATGGCCATCTTGACGTGGTGCAGTGGCTTCATGCGAATCGAGGGGAAGGCTGTACAAAGCAGGCCATGGATGGTGCCGCGACGAATGGATTTATCATGGTCGTCCAGTTTCTCCACGCGAATCGAGAGGAAGGTTGTACGACCCAAGCCATGACTGGAGCCGCGCGCTACGGCTTCGTCGACGTCGTGCGATGGCTGTCCTCGAACAGAAGCGAAGGGTGCACGACGCACGCGATGAATTTGGCGGCTACGTATGGTCATATGGATGTGGTGCAGTATTTGCATGCCCATCGCAAGGAAGGTTGCACGGCTGAAGCCGTCGACGGCGCCGTGGAGCATGGCCACTTTGATGTTGTCGAGTGGCTGCTGGCAAACCGTACCGAAGGGTGCAGTGGACGCGCGCAGTTTTGGGCCCAAGAGAACGGATGGAACCGCCTCGCGAGGTTGCTACAGAGGAAGAGCATGCCTGAGTGGACTTCGGACGAATGCAATTCCTATCGCATGTTGCTGCGATATCGTCCATAAGTTCTGCAGGCCTATTAGATTTGTCAAAGCGCTGATGGTAGAATCAAGCGTTAGCTGAGGCAGGAACTTTCCATTTATAGGCGATAAGGAGGTGCCTCTGCTCTGGGGGCCTATCCAGCGTGTATTTCGCGGGCCGTCGCCGCTACACGTCGAGGCCAGGGTATGCTGGCCACGCAGTTCACTGCGGAAGGATAACGTAATCGTCTTGTTCATTTGGTTAATTGCCTCCGAGAGCAAGCCGTGACAAAGTGGTAGTTGGCCGCTTTGATGGCGTCGACCCATTTGCGGCACTCGCCTGACGACCGCGCTTCAAACTTGGTGCTTTCTGTGTTGGTGCACAGCGTAAAAACGCAGCCATTCCTAGCCACACACACATGAGGAGGCTGTGAACTGTCTATTCGCCAGACAGGACGTTCGTACACTTGGATTTCCATGGACCGGTCGGCCAAGTTGAGTTCGCCGCGCGCCTCGGCGTCGCCTTGCTGTCTGTAGTATGCCAGGGTCCCGCGGGCTGTGATGATGCAGAATCGAGGATACGCCTTCTTGAAGTTTTTCCATCCGATCGTAAACACGTCTGTCTCGTTCGAAATGGTCGGGTGTTTATCCAGCATGCCTACAAGATCGAGAACTCTCCATGGAATATGGTTCCTAGCGGATGTGCGCACCTTCCAAGAAGAAGTCGAGCTTGACAGAGGGCTGCCGCGCTGTCGGCGAAGGGGCTGCCCTAGGCCGCATTGCGCCAATTGCGACGTCGTTCCCAGTGCTCCCAGTGCTGACTGCTTTGGCAGGTGCTGTTTTCTTGGCCCGCTTTGCTTGCTTCTTGGATGCAGTAGGAGCGTTCTTCGCCGAAGCCGAGTCGTCTTCTTGAAGGGCTCGCAGTTCCTTTGTCAGGTGCTTACGGCGCTTGGTTAGCTTGGCAGCGAGCTCGTTATCTCCTGCCTCTGCGGCCGTGGCCAGTTGATCGTTAATTAATTTCTAAGAAAATTGAATGGTCATCGTCGAGCCAGGAAAGCGCAGCAATCGAGTGGCTAGGAGAAGAGGCAACAAGCAACAAAGCAAGGCAGGACGGCGCACCAGCTTCTCGCGCAAGTTGGACTTGCGCGTGTCTATCTCGGACGACTTGACTTTAGTTGTCTTTTTGAGTTTCTTTTCCGCTTTCGACAGCGACTTGATGTGCTTTCGCATGTATTGGACTTCGCGCTGGACGAGTTTGCGCCGGCGGTCTTCCTGCTGATATTCCTTGTCCACTTCTTTCAACTGCCGCTGGAATAGCCTACATCCATCGCACATTCAACATGCATGGATGCATCGGCGGTGCTTACGCGAGTTGTTCATGGAGGGGCAGAGTGACATCGACGTCGAAGAGTGCCGCTGCCAACTTACGGGACTCGGACACGTCGTCTTCCGGTAGCGCGTCAACGAGGGCATCGAGCTCGTGGCGTTCCTTTGTCAGGGCTTCCTGACGCACCTTGAGTTTCTTGTGGTCGGACTTGAGTTTTTTTGTTCGATCGTGGAGTTCTGGCGGTCAATTGAGTTACTACTACCTACACAACACGAGGGCGCCACTTACTCTGCGACCGCTCCTCCAGACGCTTGGCCCGGACTAGGAGCGGGTTCTCTGCAGTTCCAGCGGCCTGGCTGTCCAAATCGTCGATGATGCTGCGGTATCGCCGCTGGTCGTCGTGGAGGTCAGTGATCTTTTGGTGCCACGCAGCGGTTTCTTCAGCTTGCGCGGCGAGTTCCATGTGCATTTTGTGTATTTTCGCGTGAACTAGCGCGGCCTCCTGGGCGAGGTGATGGGCGTGCAAGTCCCAATGCAGTTGAGCCGTGTCTTGGACGGCATCTTCCATGTCGATCTGGTCGATGAGATGCACGTGGCGCCGATACAGCGCTTGCTGGGCTTCCGGGGACCACTCGTCCTCGTCTATCTCGTTGTTGTCATCATCTTCGTTGAATTCGTCGCGGCATTGCGGGCCATCCACGTCGACAAAAACGACCACGACGGGGCGCACCGCCTTACGAATGGCGTCCAGTACATCGCTGTATTCGCTTTGCCACATGAGTTTGTCATTCACTTTGTAAATGCGCATGCCTTGGGTGAGGCGTCTAGATGGAGCCGATGGGTGTTTGATCAGTGGTAGCGGCTCAACACGAAAACGTACAACGGGGCGGGGTGGGCCCAGTTGTAGAGCGACACCGGGCCGAAGTCGCCCGACTCGAGGACCTGGACGATCGAATGCACTTGAACATGGAGCGGAATATTGCCATTGGCTTCGGAAACGTCTTGGGTTTCGAGTCCGAGCGGTCCCGTCTCGAACGCGACAGGGATAGGCACCAGGTACTGCACAGGCTGGACCACCGCCGCTACATTCGCCACGTTGAATCGAGTGCAAGGACAGCGAGTTACGGGACTGACCTCCGCTGCTCCACCACGACGATGATGCGGCGGGCTTGATGCTTTCTAAATACGATTCATAGTCCTACAAACGTGGATGACGTTTGCATCCAACAGCAAAGCATGGTACCCTGTCTTCGACGGTGCTTTGAGCGGCATCTGCGAATTGAATGACCACGGGCCGACTCGCCGCACGCAATAGAGACAACACGTCATCGTACGACTTGTGTTGAAGGCCCTGCGCGTCGATCGAGACGAGTCGCATGCCCAGGGCCACGGGGCTAAACAATGCAATGTCGTTCCGTAAGAACGAGGGTACGTTGTAATCACAAGCATGGCGAGAGTGACGCACATCTCGGCTCGGGCATTCAACTTGTTTAGCGCGCCATCCTACAACGAAAAGCTGTGAAAGCGCATAAGGCCCGACGACGCACGTACGGAAGGGATTTCGTACACTTCGACTTGGAACTCGGGAAAGACATGGCCCGAGTATTCTTGCGTCTTCATCCCAAACGGGCCAGTGCCGAATTCGATGCGCGTGCTTGCTATCCACGAGTAGACGACCCGGTCCTTGCGCTTGGGATTCTCGACAACTTTGCGCTTGGATGAGTTCTTTTTCGTTAATGCAGCCACGGGTGCGGCAGAGTCTGTGGAGGCTTTGGACGGAAGAGGGGTTGTCGTGGCTGATGAGGATACACCAGGTGGACTTGGGACGAGTGGGGCCACACTTGCGCGAGGCGGAGGAGCTGAATGTGATGCGCCTGTGGTTGATGCAAGCGACTGCGTGGTGGCTGCAGCCGCTGGTGTTGTTGTACAAGCTGCCACGGTCCCGCCAGTTGACGCGATAGGAACCACCGTCCTTGCTGCTGGAGCAATCACTACGTCAGGAGCCGTGCCGGCAGGTTTCGAGGACAGGACACCGTCTTTGCCAGGCGAGATTTGTACCGAATCCGGGTGCGGCCATGGAGGGGTGCTTTGCGGGTGAATTCGAGCGTCGTGGGACGTAGTAGAAATGTCCGACGGAATAGCTACCACCGCGACTTGGGGCATTGCATCGTTTCCAATGCCTTCCGACGGGACGCAAAAGTGCAATGTCAGTGGCCTTGGCATTTTTTGGACGAATTGCACAACAACGTCGTGAGCAACGCCAGCAACGGACACGTGGTTGATCGCGGCGACGGCAAGACCAGGCCGCAAATGCATGAATTCATCGGCAATCGCGTTGTATCGAGCGGCGAGGGTCTTGAGACCCAGTGGGTGCTAGGCCGAACATCATCACGATCATAGCTGCACGCCAACGAGTGAAAAAACGTACGGCTGTCAGGGACGCAACTTGAGTGGACAGCGCCGCGGCACAGTCGTGAGTTGGATGTGGGTGCAGCGATGCGAGCTCGAGGCCTAACCGCCCTGGAGGAAACAAGACGGCAAACATCGCAAACCAAGGGATCCAAGGGGTATTTGGGAGTGCTGGAAGTGGCGGCACTTTGACGACGGAAGTGGATGGAACTAAGTTGGGTGGGATGCAGGGGAGTACCTAGTGCCGGTCGGTAATGTGGGGATGATGTATGAATGGTTAGTTTTTACCAACGTATCATCTGATGCAAAACCCTTATGGCAGTCCACGAAGCGCAGAACCAACGGAGGATGGGCGGAGGCGGTGCTGAGCATGGTAAGAACAGCGTCAAAGCTAACATGGGATAGCGGCGTTGTGTTGATCCAACTCAGCCGCATTCCACGAGTCACTCGGCTAATGGAAGAGCACGTCAGCGACTAGCAACATGACATGAAAGTAAATACAGTGAAGGGACAAGTGCTCGCAAGTTGGCTGTGTCGACTGGACTGCGTTCTCCATTAGGTAGCTACAACTCTTCGTCGAGACACAGCAGGTCGTGAATGGAGCGGTACCCTGTCGACTCGAGTAACTTGAGCGTGTAGGTGGAACGGTGCAATGGCGTCGTCTGGGACCATCGCGAGCTGCACGCCAAGGCACTTCTGAAAAAAGTGTACATCGACTTGCACAACAAAGGCACGTTCACCTATTTTGTAGGATGACCAATCGTTCATGCTGCGAGGTGTGCAGTACCCTTCATGGAGTGCTCTCGCTGAAGAGCTACACGTGCACATGAACAGAACTGCCTGCGGTAGATCCTGCGACGTACACTTGCTGCGGGACGAGAGGCCGAACATGGCCGCCGGACGACGTTGTCGTCGACTCGAATGCCTTCGGCGCAAGCAACGACGATTTTCCGGATAATTCTCTCACAATTTCATACTATTGAGAATGGAGAGTCATTTGCACTTATCCAAATACCCGGTAAAATCCAAGTATAACGCATCAATGTCGTGATCACGACATGCGTTTTTCTCCTACAGAAGCCAATATCCGGATAATGTCACTAATCCTCGAAATAGTGAACCACCGGTTACGTGTCAAACTCCCAGCACACAATGCCAGCAAAGCAGCAAGCTGCGGACGAGCTGAAGCCCAACCGCATACCCCTGCTCAGTCACGGCAGGCTATCAAAACAGGCGCGGAAGGGCCAGTGGCAGACATGGTCGCTGGGCTCTTCGCTCTTCCTATTCGTAGATTCACGAACTGAGCAAACCACCGCAAGTCATTCATTGTATAGTCAGCGTTCTATGCCCCCGATGCGTACGGCACAAAGAGAGCCATGCGTAAGGGTAGCGACTTCGACCAGCAAGGGTAGCAAGGGTAGCGACTTCGACCAGCAAACCACAGCCGCTGAGACGCCTTCACTCCCAACTTGTTGCACGGAAATACCAGAACCCGTCGGAACATCCACGAGTCATGTGGTGATCTTTTCGTTTCTCGAAGTTCATCATTGACTCTGCCTCGTTCCACTAACTCTCATGCCCCCCGTCAACTATACATCGGTAGAACGCACAGGGCGCAACAACGTGGGTTTATCTCACCTTCACACTCACAACTTCGGCACCCCATGTTACAACTCCATAAAACGACCGGCCTCTCGGCCTCGCTCCTTCACCCGAGCTGCCGTTCACGATGGAGTCGAACTAAAGATGAAATGTTCCGGTGAGTGGAATAGCTGGCCGTCGTTGGGCTCGCTCGAGGATATCCGAGTCTCGATCGGACAAACTGGCCTGGTGGAAGAACTACTGGGGCAAGATGGAACCGACACAATCATGACCCTGTGCGGAGCGCACCAAAACCCCGGCACTCATCGTTGGAAGCGCCCGTCTGACACTTCATGCCAGTGCATTTCACCGCCACCGTCATGGGCCAAACTCGACACAACATATCCTGAATCTCTGACAAGCTGGCACTGCCACTCCAACAACACTTTACACGCGCGCACCCCCCCTGTCAGCTATTTCGACGGCAAACCGGAGCGTTCACAGCGTCTTAGTCCTCCATGAACATTGATGAAGTGCTGCCCTGTTGTCTCTGAAGAAACTAGGCAACTCTTGACGTTTGCAAAATCCGCATGCTCGACCTCGAAACATGCCTGCATGTCTCCACAGCATTTCACTAGTTTGTTCAAAAGTCCGACGTTGCACGACCTGAGTCTTGTCATGAGCGGTGCTAGAAGCTGCAGCTGTCCCAACATGCCAAGTGTAGAGGCCAGTCTGTAGGAGACATGGCGACATTCGTCTCCATACCAATCACGCTTTGCACAGCAGACGAAAAACATGCTTCACTGTTCGAATGGCGCCATGGACAAAGAGCCTCGAGAGGTGCTAGCAGGCGTGCAGCAACAGCCTGTGTCCTTGCCGTCGTGTTGGACCTCCAGCACGATGGGGAATGCACGGGTGCCTGGATCCCACCGAAGTCGCAAGACATGTGCGCCGTTGTCGCACCAACTGGCCATAGCAATTCTGCCCGCCTGGTCTTGCTCATTACGCAAAATGCCAAAGCAACCTCCGAGGCGGATGGAGAGTCCCGAGTTCACACACGGCACGACACGTGCTTCGAACGACTACAAGCCTTCCACAGACTTCGCCATCCTAGCTGACGACAACCTAGACAAATTCGACAAGTTGCCTGGCATTGCATCCTCGCTGGGAAGATACCACATCCACATTAGTGATGTATTCAGGTTTGAATATCCTAGCCAACGATGCACCACCGTCAGCGCCAGAACACCCCATCAAGTACCGCCCCGACATTGACGGCCTCCGAACGCTCTCTGTCGTCCCGGTCGTCCTCTTCCACGCGTACCCCGCACTCGATCCAAGGCGGCTTTATCGGCGTCGACGTGTTCTTGGTCATCACGGGGTACCTCATCTCTGGCATCCTGTTCAAGGAAAACGCCAAAGGCACGTTCATGTACGCCGCCTTTTACTCGCGACGCATCCGGCGAATCTTTCCTGCCTTGCTGCTCGTCCTCACCTTTACGCATGGTCGTCGGGTGCGTGTGGCTGCTGGACAAGGCGCTCCGGTCCATGGCGGCCACGATGATGGCTGGGACGTTGTTCAGCGCCAACCTCCAGCTGCTCACGATCGAGCAGGGCTACTTTGACGCGAGCGTCAAGGAGAAACCGCTGCTGCACTTGTGGTCACTGGGCGTCGAGGAGCAGTTTTACATCTTCTGGCCGCTCTTTGTCTCGATCATCAGCCGCCTTTCATTCCGCAGCGCGTTGGGGTGTCAGTTGATCGTGGTGGTTGCGAGCTTCGTGTGCAACATCCTCTTTCTCGGGTTCCATGGTGAGAACAAGTACTCGTTCTACTTTCCGCTGAGCCGGTTCTGGCAAATGGCCATCGGTGGGCTCCTCGCATATGTGGAGCTGCCCACGCTCTCGGGGCCCTCCAAACTCTCGTCCGCGGCGCTCGTGCCACTGCCATTCGCGTCGTCCATCTGCTCTGTGGGTGGTTTCGCGGCGATTGTCACGGGGTATGTCGTGATCGACGAATATCGATGACATTTCCCAGCTATTGGTTCTTGCTTCCCACCCTCGGGACGGCCTGCGTCATCTTTACAGGTCCGCTGCCGGTGATCAACCAGTACGTCCTCGGCAACGCGGTGTCGGTGTACATTGGCCAGATCAGCTACGCCCTGTACCTGTGGTCTTTGCCAAGCTGCTGTACCCCCGAGCCGACCTTCGGCCGGTGTATGTGCAGCCATACGCGATGATCGTTTTGTCCGAGGTGCTGAGCCTCGCAACTCTGTACTTGGTGGAAAACAACCTGCGCCGTCGCAAAGCTGCGTGGGTCGTTCTGGTGCTTTTTGTGCTGATGGTGGCAGTCGGCGTGACTGCTGCCGTTGTGTTTAAAATGACAGCAACGTTCTCGGTCAAATCCAAGGAACTGGCATCGTACGCTCGGCCACACGAACACAGTGCAGTCGATAGTGTGGTTCGGAACTGGAGCCAACCTCCTCGCACTTCGAATCCGACGGGGACCAAACTGCATTCGGCTGCGGGCGATTGGAACCCATGGGTACGTGAAAGGGCATGATATTCTGGAAGAGAACCGTGTTTTGAACGGAGATGCTGATGCGTCGACGCCGATGGTCATGGTGCTGGGCGACTCGCATTCGATCATGACCGCCCCGCGTTTCAATCGTCTCTTCGAAATTGCCTCCAACGCTAATGCAAGGTTTCCCATCGTGGTCCATCGCTCTCGCAACGGCGACCGTTGAGAGAGCGCAGCACCCACCACGCGGGTGACTTGGCCCTGATCGAAGAAGTCAAACCGAAAGTGCTGTTCATCGTGACCAACTGGGTTAAGTTCCTTCGAGCTGGCGGACTTCAAGACAACGGTAGCTCTCCCCCGTGCTGCGCGCCTGGCTATGTTGACTCGTGCCCCAACCAAAGCCGGAAAGACGTCGACACACTCGTCACTCTCTTCGAGCAAGAGATCTCGGCATTCGTGGTATCAGGTATCAAGGTATTTGTTGCAACGGTGAACCCAGAAGGCTCCGAGCACCACCACTCCAATATACTCAACGGGAACGCCGTCGGTGCGGTGGATCCCGTCAGTCGCAGTGCATTTCGGGCCAAGGAGAAGCATGCATTCGTGAACTGGTGGAAAAAGCCATCCGCAACGCGAACGCGACGCTCGTGGCCTTTTCAGAGAACCAGTGCGTTGACGATGTGTGCCACGTGGTCTCGATGAAAGAGGGCGAGCCAGTATTCAAGGACAACGATCACTTGCGACCGTACTTCGCGCGAAACTATCTCACAAGCGTCGACCAGGTTGTTCAGGCCGCTTGGGAATAATGCGTGCTTTCCACTCCAGTGTAGGCATCACAAAAAATCCATCAAATTGTCGTAAAATGGAGAACGAACTGGCGTGTACTTCGTTGGCACGGGCATCGGGTGTAGTGGTGTAGGCTAGAGGAAATTCCAAAGGACATTGTTTGTCCTGATATCCTGCTCTAACCGTTCTTTCGAACGTGGCTTCGCTAACGGTGTTCTCAGCGGATATTCTTCGTACGACAATCTCTACAGCCTTAGTTGACAATCTCAGTCATAAGGTGAAATACGTAGGAATTGTATGGAGAAATTGAACAAATACTTCCTCTGTTCCACATTACTTGGGACAAATGAAAAAACACTTTTTCCACTTTACTGGGGACACTTGACATTGATTGGCCAAGAACAAAATTCATTGAAGGTATTGTTTAAAATGCTACCTATACAAGTGCTGATGAGCAGGACACATTCTCCATGAGAGCACCACCACGGCGTAAAGCATTCTTTCCCAGGTGTGGCAAACGAAAGTTATTGCCCCCATTGTTCTCGAGAACAAGGCGCATCACAGCCTGCAAGGTAAGAAACACGTTCGAAAGCTTCTCTGCATCCATTTCCCGAAAGGCGGCGAGAGTCGCAGCGATAACGGCGGGCTTGGGG